TAAATGTATATAACGATTAGATAGACAAAAAGAAAAAGAAATATATATATATATATATATATATATATATATAACATTATAAACAGTACAAATAAACATTAATTATATACATCTATTTGTTATACACATACATGGATATAATGAATAAATTAACAGATACAGAAAGCTGAAGAAAAAAAAAAGAAAGATAGTGAGTATGAGTTCTCTAGCCTCTTTACATTATAAATATATATCATAAAGCAATATATATATGTATATATACATACACACATACATGTATACATACATAATAATATATTGCTTGTCGACGTTTATAAAAAGGCTCACTCGTTCGCTCTCTTTCTATTTATTTCTTTTTTCTTCTATTTCTTTTTTTTTGTCTATCTAATCGTTATATACATTTATGTGCATAATAAATAGGTATGTAATATTTTGTGTATTTGTGCTGTATGTAACAGTATTATGTATGCTGTATGTATTATATATATATATATATATATATATATATATATATATATATATATATTATAATAGTGCGCATGATATTTGAGACGTTTCTGATAATTAAAAAATTTATATTGTACAAATGAATTTGTTTCAAAGCTATTACGTAACAGAAAAATTAAAAAAAAAATGTTTTCATGAAAAAATGAATGTCATAATTTTTTTAAATAAAAGCATCATATTCAATCTAAATCAATTTGTTACAATATTCTGCATCAAAATTTATAAAGATAAAATTGTGAAAAAGTGAAAAGTTTACGAGATATTTGAGTTTTAGAGAAAATATGTAGCTGCTGGTTTACAATTTATATCTTTATTTATATCTGTGTTTTCTTTACACCAATTGATTTAAAATTGGAATAAAATAATCAGAAAATGATTTCATGAGATATTTCATAGTTTATGTACATTATGAAAGTATAATATATCTCATAAGCTATTCGCTTTTTTTGGCCATCCTACATTACAACTTATGCAGAATATTGAGAATCGATTTATATAAAAAAATATGATTTTATTAAAAAAAATTCAAGGTAACACTAATTTTTTTTATAAAAATTTTTTTCCTCATTTTTTATTGCTTGTAATAGATTGCACAAAACAGATCAATTTTTACAATATATATTTTTTCTAAACTGTTGCAAACATTTCAAAAATCGTACGTATTGTTATGCTGAACATCGTATTAATATATATTATATATATAATACATATATATTGATATATATAGTTGGTGTAAAGAAAACACATATTTACCTTTAAAAAAAATATGAAAATTGCAATAAGCAGTTAGATAATTTTTCTTTAAGACAACTATGTGTTTTCTTTACACCAATTGATTCGTCTCATTATTCTGTGCATAAAAGTATTAAGGTATGATAATCGAAAAATGAATATTTCCCAAGATATTTTGTATTTTATGTCAAAATACTGCAAATTTGCAGCCTTATAACTCGAAAAATACTTAATGAAAAAATATTTTATTGTAGTGTTTGGAAAGATCTTAAAGTCAGCTATAAAAGTATGCAAGAAAAAATATAGTGTTCCATTTAAGAAATTGAAGTTGACCGTCACGTAACCTTCAAATGGCTATTCAAGGTCAAATCAATGACACCATCTCATGTCCCCCTTGAAACCATACAACTTTTATCTGAAACATTTTTGTCTTAAACTTTTGAATTTTGAGAAATTTTAGTGCAAAGATTAAATGGCTTACCCTGTATATAAATATATATATATATATATATATATATATATATTTGTATGTATGTATGTATGTAGGTGTAATTTTATAAGAACATTCAAATAGACGTTTAAAATGCAATTTTTATTTTTATTTTAATTTTTATTTTAATTTTTTTTTATTAAAATGCAATTCTCAATTTTTTTTATCTGAAAGATAATGCAATCCTTTGTTTATTTTTTCATGTATAATTGATAATTATTATTATAGTTTTTTAGTAGTTAGTGCCAGAGGCGGTCTATTCGTGTGCTGGTTTAAAAAATAATTCCAGAGGCGATCTATTCGTGTGCTGGTTGTTTTAAAAAATAATTCCAGAGGCGATCTATTCGTGTGCTGGTTGTTTTAAAAAATAATTCCAGAGGCGATCTATTCGTGTGCTGGTTGTTTTAAAAAATAATTCCACAGGCGATCTATTCGTTTGCTGATAACTGTACAAAATATTTTACCCCAGATGCAGTTTGCATGTGCGCAAAATTCTCAGAAGCGATATTGCAATGTTGAAACTTTATAACTTATCATGTGATAGTGACTTTCACGTAATCTTTATGACTGTGCAAGGTCAACACTAATGGTACTATTTTATAGTTCCTTTGAAACCGTACAACTTTTGTTGTTTTATTATAAAATGCATTGAAACAAAGAGATATTAGGGGTAGTAAAATGGGACACCTTGTATAAATACACACACGCATACATATGTGTATATGTATGTGTAACAACCTGTGTATATATAATTTTTATATAATTATAAATTATATAAAATGGGACACCCTGTATATGTATGTGTGTGTCGATTGACAACTTTTTTATTGCGACATCTGTCGAGTTTTGTCGATAATTATATTTAAAAAATCTTCATTATCGACCCTATCGGAGTTCGCCCGTGCATTTAGGATCCCCTTAAAGGGTATTGAAATTAATCTCAAATATGAGATTATTTCATATTTAAAATCTTGGCCGTGTCCAAGTAAAATTTGGTGCCTTGTGCACCGTATTTAATTCTAACGGAAAATTATTTAGTTTCGTTAGGATAACGCATTGTCATCCGCGATTTGGCTCTTATTGCCCGTCTTATACGTTAAATTATATTTATATTACAGAGCCTTGTTAAACTCTTAAATTTAACAAATATTATTTTGATAAATTCCTTAGTTAATTGGAATTGGTTCAATAAACGAAATCTCTTTCAATACATCCTTCTAAATTGTACCCTTATATTAAATTGATAACCATTTTCCTACTATTCCATAACGTATTATAAATGAAAACATTAAAACAGAAGATCGCACGTCGGAATAAAAGTAAACATAGAGCTGGGAAAAGGGTTTGTGCTAAGCGTGCCGCATCTACTCTACGTTGTGTCGGGCGACGGTCAACAGATAATAAATCTCGCGTCAAATCGTGTGAAAAAGTTATCTTTTCTCCGGAAACTATAAAAAGATTGAAGACTTCATCTATTCAGCTAAATCTTGACAATAAGCTCGTAGCGAACAAAGAAACTCCCCCTTATATTGAGACCGAACCCTCGATCAACCAACCTCTTAATTCCTTTGAATTCTCGACTCCAGAACTACCAAGTTCAATTGATTCTTTAATAGAAGAAGCACTTAATTATTTTGATCTCAGAACTAACTTCCCAGAGTTATCACCAATCTCAGACAAAGGAATTTCCCTTGACTCCAGGATAGAATCCTTGCCAGACAAACCATCTAATAAATTTAGCCCAGAAGAACCGATTCTTCAGAGCAGTTAGTAATCACGGAATTATACGAATTAGTATCGCAAGTAGAAAGAAATAATTCCCCGGAACAATTTTATTCTACAGACGAAGTACAAACAATAAAAGACCAATTCTCAGAACAGTTATTAATTGCAGAACTGATTTAGTATCACAAATAGAAGAAAATACTTCTCAGAAACAAACTCATCGTAAGAACTTGATATAATCATTAAAAGATCAGTGTCCAGACAACTTATTAGAAATCGATCAATATGCTAATTATTTAGATATTTAACTATTCTCCTATTATTTACCTAAATACAATAGACGGGATCCAGCGGTAAATTAACAAAGATATTAATACGACATTAATGCAATCTCCATCAGTACATTTTCCTTATTAATATCTCCTTGACAATATCCCTTATTAAATTAGATATTTCACTACCATTCTATATCTTATAAAGACGCGAATCAGAAAATCAAGTATCGAAAGAAATACAATCATAGAGCAGGTAAAAAGCTCGTGCTAGCCGCGCCGCATTTACCTTACGTTGGCTTCAGCGACAAAACCCTTGTTATGTTTGCGCGAACGCGAGAAGGAGAGCGCGTGTTAGAAGGCCGATAGAAATCATTCACTCTTTAATAATTAACACAGAATTTACTTTCACAATTTAACGATACAGTAATTTTACAAAGTTCCAATAGATAAGCCGAGATCGATTTCCAAGTGAGTGTGCGGTAATAATTGCGGTAATAATTGCGGTATTTATAAGCGGTTTAATAGCGGTTGTACGTACTGAGACTCGAGAGACTAGCCGCCCAATTTTGGTGGGCGCTTCTTTTTATCGGTGCGGTACTGAAGCCCCACTAATTTTTACTTCACCAATTAATTTCGGTTATTTAAAAATGTTCGAAGGTGACGCGAGGGCGCCTGTCTTTATTGGAGGCCCCGTAATTTACGCGAAACAAGCACGCACCTGACATGCGCGAAATGCTCGATAGCGAGATCGATTGGCTTTCGGAAGCCACGTGATCGAACGGCGCATGTCTATTACATTGATAATCAATGCGGTGATCGTTGCTTTCGGTTAAGCAATGTTGTTGTTATTGACAGCTTGTTAAAATAATCCTGATTTATCGCCTACTTGTTTATATCGGGCGAGCCTTTTTTCCGCGGTTTTTTCGCATATTCATCGGAAGAAAATATCGATTTTTAGACAGAAAAATACAGACTGAAATAATTATATTAATTTCTTCTCAATTTCGAACATCCCGCCCGCCTTGTCACCCGCTGACAATAAGACGCTATGAATGTTCGATCGCGATTGATAGTGGGGTAGGCGCGCGCCGGCGCGGCGAGATACACGTGATTATCGCGTGGAATGTCGCTCGATCAGCTGAAACGATGAACACGTGTTGACAGTGTGGTGCGATCAGCTGAGAATAGTGACACGCGGTTTCGATGTGAAATAATGCGTGTGAATGTGAACAGTGGTTACAGTGCGTATGTGATGTGTCGTGTATTTCTGTCTATGCGTTGCGTGTCGTTACGTCCGTTGTGAAGTCGGGAAGTAAGACGATTTTTACGAGCGGACGCACGAGCTCGGAGGTCGCGGTTCGAACGGTGACCACGCGTACGATCCCGTCGTCGCCGGGATGCAGTTTTGTGATCCGGGCGAGAGGCCATCGGTTTGGAGGCGAAATCTCGGAGCGCACAAGGCAGAGTGCTCCGATGTGAGGTGTGGTATCGACCTTCAACCATTTAGGTCGTGAGATGAGTCCATGGATGTACTCTCCCGACCATCTTTGCCAAAAGTGATCTCGCATCGCCTGGAGATGATGCCATCGTGATGCTGCGGATCCACTGGTGTCCTCCTGTACTGGCTCCGGGATGGCGAGAAGCGGCGCGCCGATCAGGAAGTGGCCCGGAGTCAGTGCTGTAATATCGTCTGGATCGTCAGAGAGTGCCTGTAATGGACGAGAATTTAAACAGGCCTCAATTTGTGTGAGGAGAGTGGTCAGTTCCTCAAAGGTGAGAGTGGTTTCACCTATCACCCTCCGCAAGTGATACTTAGCGGATTTGACGGCTGCCTCCCACAATCCGCCGAAGTGCGGAGCTGCTGGTGGATTAAAGTGCCACCGTATGCCATGTTCAGCAGCTACGCGTGCGATTCCACGACCCTCTGTGGATGCAGCGACGAAGAGTTCCCGTAAAGTGCGGTCAGCCCCGATGAAGGTCGTTCCACAGTCGCTATATATGTCCGTACAGAGACCTCGACGTGAGACAAAGCGACGTAAAGCGGCGATGAAGGCCTCTGAAGAGTAATCCGAGACAAGTTCGAGGTGGATGGCTCTGGACCAAAAACAGATGAATACTGCGATATAGCCCTTATAGGCGCGGTGTCCTCGTCCCTTGCTCGTCCGGATGAGGATGGGTCCTGCATAGTCCACTCCAGTGCGCAGAAATGGCCGAGTCGGAGTGACCCGATCGCGGGGTAGATTACCCATCGGTGGCTGCAGCGTCGTTGCTCGCCATCTTGTGCAGGTGATGCAGCGATGTAGTTGCTGTTTCACAACTGTGCGTCCTCGTGGAATCCAGAAGCGCAGTCGAAGCAGCCCCAGAGTAAGTTGCACTCCGCCATGCAGCGTCCGACGGTGACAGGATTCCACCAGCAGACGAGTCAGCCACGACGAGGTTGGAATGATCATCGGGTGCCTCTCATCTTGTGTCAGCAGGGCGTGCTTAAGCCGACCTCCCACTCTCAGAACACCATGGTCGTCGAGGAACGGAGTCAGCTTGACTAATGTGCTGCGTGGTGCGACGGAGCGTCCAGCTGCGACTGCGGTGATCTCGTCCGTGAAGTGCAGTGTCTGCACTTCTCGAAGCCAGCGAAAGAGTGCCATGTCGAGTTCCTCAGGACTCAACGTTAGTCCAGCGGTGTGAGTCGGCTCAGAAGCGCGCAGCCAGCGACGGCACCATGCGGATATCCGTAGCAGGCGATGCAGAGATGAGAAGCGGAGCAGGATTTCTGGCTCGACGATGACCCGGTTGACAGTCATCAGGCTCGTGGCTTTCCTTTCTGGCACGTCGTCTCCTCGGATCTCCATCACGGAATTTGGCCAGGCCGATTCGTGCTGTGACAACCAGGTAGGTCCTGTCCACCATAAAGCGTGATTGATTAGTTCGCTTGGATTAATACCCCTTGATGCACAGTCCGCAGGGTTGTCGCGACCAGCTACGTGTCTCCATTGTGCATTAGGCAGCTGCGTCTGGATGTGAGCGACTCGATTGGCGACGAAAGTCTTCCAGCGTGAGGAGTGACCGCGAATCCATTGGAGGGTCACTGTTGAATCTGACCATAAGTACGTGTCTGATGTTGCCAGGTCGAGCGTTTGTTTGACATGTCGCGTCAAATTGGTGAGTAGCGTGGCGGCGCACAACTCCAGCCTCGGCAAGGTCACTTGTTTGACGGGTGCTACCTTGCTTTTGGCCATCAATAACCTTACTGACGTTTCGTTCCTTTCAGTGATGCGGATGTATACTGCGGCTGCATATCCTCGTTCGGATGCATCGGCGAAGCCATGAAGCTGCAGCGAGGCCTTATCTGCTCCGGTCCCGAGCCAGCGTTTTATTCGCACCTGATCTAGAAGATGGAGTTCTTCTAGAAGACGTTGCCACTCTCGAGCGTCGGATGGCGGCAGCGGGGTGTCCCAGTCCAATCCTTGCAGCCACGTGGATTGAATGAGAATTTTTGCTCGAATCACGACTGGAGCGAGCCACCCCATTGGATCGAAGAGCCGTGCGGTTTCGGATAAAACCGTTCTCTTCGTGTGGTTGATGGCAGCGTGCGGATGAAACACGAAAGAGAACTGGTCGTGTTGCGGGTGCCAGCGGAGTCCTAGCGTGGAGTGACTCTCTCCTTCCCAAGCTGGCGGCAATTGCTGCAAACGATGATCGCTTGGTACTCCAGTCAGGATCCTCTCGTCGTTGGCTGCCCACTTCTTCAACGGAAATCCGCCCGCCAAGCAGAGGTTGCGAATTTCCATCTGGAGTGCGATCGCATCGTTCAGCGTATTTGAGCCGGTGACCACATCGTCGACATAACAATCTCGACGCAGAGCTACGGCGCCACGAGGAAACTGCTCTTCTTCGTCCGTTGCGAGCTGACGGAGTGTCCGTATGGCGAGAAACGGAGCACACGCCAGACCGTAGGTGACCGTTCTCAGCTGGTACTCTCGCACTTCATCATCAGTTGAATGACGCCACAGGATCGTTTGGAATCTGCAGTCATCCGGATGCACGAGTATCTGCCGATACATTTTCTCTATATCAGCAACGAAGACATACTGGTGTTGACGCCATCGGAGTAGTACGTCAGGAAGAGCTGGCAGAAGATTTGCTCCAGTCATGAGGTGTGCGTTTAAAGAGTCTCCAGTTCGCGTTCGCTGCGACCCATTGAACACGACCCTCAGCTTCGTCGTGGCACTGGACTCCTTGAGTACTCCATGATGTGGTAAGTACGTTGACTGATTGCTCGTTGTGGAGCATGTCACCAGCGTCATATGTTTCAGGTCTTCGTATTCTGTCATGAAGCTGCGATACAGATTGCCGAATCGAGGGTCCTGGACGCATCGCCTCTCCATCGTTGTGAGAAGCCGCTCGGCTGGTTTGCGGGTTTCGCGGAGTGCAGTGATTGGTGAGGAGAACGGCAGCTTCACCACGTATCGTCCTGAAGAGGTGCGAGTGTGCGTGTGCACGAAGAATTCCTCGCATTGCTGCTCTTCGGCGGAGAGTGTCGTGACTGCGTTGGGCTCCCGTTCCTGTTCCCAAACTGCTGCACCAGCTCGAATAGCTCGTGATCGGCAGTGCACTGGAATGTGCGACGGTGCTCTTCTGCGGATGCGACGCCGGAGCCTCCAGAGAGGATCCATCCTAGCGATGTCTTCTGCGCGATTGGCATCTGAGGTCCACCCTTGCGTAGACCCTCTTCAAGAATTAAGGAGCACACCTCCGCTCCCAGGAGTAGCTCGGCTGGATCGTTCTCGCGAAATTGAGGATCCGCCAGTTGGAGTCCTCGAATATGCGGCCAATCTTCTGGTGTGCTGGACGTGGAGCCTTGAAGAAGTGACAGGCGTGGCAGTATAAACGCAATCACGGAGAGCCGGGCGTTCGTGATGTCCGAAGTGAGGTGCAGCGTGACCTTGCCACGCGTTGATCCTGGTCGTGCGCCTCCGATCCCAAAGATGGCCATGTCGGTGCGTGATCGAGGCAGGTTCAGTCGTTGCACCAGTGCTTCAGAAACGATCGACACCTCTGATCCCTGATCGATCAGTGCTCGGACGTCGTGCGGTGCTCCATGGCGATCGGCTACGTTCACCCGAGCAGTGGCGAGGAGTACAGCCTTCTGCTCCTTGGCTTTGTGCAGTGCGGCGAGTGAAGTGGCTTCTGGTGTTTGTGCGGTGACCGTGCTGTATGCGTCGTGCAGTGAAGTGTGATGACGTGCCTTGCATGTGTAGCAGTTCTTCTTCGACTGACATTTTGTAAGATAATGATTTCCGAGGCAGTTGAAACACAGTCTGTGCGTCTCAACGAAGGCCTTTCGATCTGCCGCGGATTTCGTCTTAAATTCGCGACACGTCATCAGATGGTGCTTCTCATGGCACAGTGCGCATTGTGGAAGGTCAGTTCCGTGCTTCGCAACATGTGTCTTCGCCGTTCGTGAAGACTCTCCGAAGTTCTTCTTGAGAGTCTTCGGATGCACGGCGTTAAGTGTGAACATCCGTCGCGTCATGAACTCCAAAAGTGTTTCGTGCGATGGTGACTTGTTGGAGTCGGATATGGAATTTTCCCATTCCATTCGAGTGTGTGCGTCGAATTGCTCGACGATAAGATAGTTTAGGAGGTCCATTCCGTGAGATTCAATGGGACGACCTATACTCTCCTGTGCGTTGACGACTGTGACGGCAGCGTTGTGGATGCGATGCAGTTCGTCAGCAGTTCCGTTCTTCATTCTCGGCACGGCGGTGAATGCGGCGAAGTTGCATCGGATGAGTTCTCTCTCATTTTCGTAGTGTTTGCACAGTATCGTCCATGCACGTTCGTAGTTGTCTCCTGTCACCGGTAATGAACTTATCAATTTTTCAGCCTGTCCGTTCAAACTCGACCGAAGATGATGCAGGCGTT